GCTGCCTCCGGGCGCCCGCTTCGCCTCCCGCGTCCTGCCTGGCTGCCCGGGTCCCCGCGGACCTTGAGTCGCTTTCGGGAGTTTAGAGAAAGCCAAGTCTTCACGTTCTTGTAGGTTGGAGACCTTAACGAATTGCACAGCGCCACAAAGGGAACGAGAACCCGGGCGCCTTCGCAACCGGAGCGGAAGCCGGAGTTGGCTGCGGCCCGCGTGCCCTCCCTGTCCGTGGGGCCCAGACGCGTGGGCACACCCCCGCCCCTCCACGCATCCACTGAGTCTCTCCCTCTCTTGTCCTAGCCATGGAAGGGCTGGAGGAGGCAGAGGCCAACTGCTCCGTCGCGTTCGCCGAGGCTCAGAGATGGGTGGAGGTGAGTGCCTTTCACTGCTCTCCCTTCCGCAGGTTGTTGACTGCCTCGGGGCCGTCGTCGCGAGGTGACTGCAGCCCCGGTCACTCTGCACTTTAGCTTCCTCGGCGATCCAGCCGGCGCGAAGAAGCTGGTTTGCTTGTCCACTTTTGGGGACTTTGCGGGTTCTGCCGCTCCTGCATCTTCATGTCCAGCTTAAATTAGCGCTGCCCTAACCCCTGGCCCCTGACGGTGTCACTGGCTTCCTAGGGCAGAGGTGGGCGCTCGCCCGCCGGGTGTCTGCACCGCGCGTCCGGGAGGAGCAGCGCGGTCGGCCCTGGCTCGCCTGGGGCGTCTCTGCTGGGCACAGCCCAGAGCGCGCGGTGCAGAGCTGCGCCAGGGCTCTCGGGTGCATTACCTCGGGGTGCCTAGAAGTGGGGATGCTCACCTTATACCTGAGAAGCCAGTGTATTCAGTGTGGAGGGGGGAGTGGAAAGGAAGGGTGGGTGGGAGGGCAGGTGTAGGAGGTAACACAGGAAGAAGGCCCACCTGGAAGGGTGATTTCTCTGGGGCCCGCATCCAAGCCCAGGGGATAGGGGCGGGACATGTGCTTTTTCATTTTCAGCTTTGATGAGACTGAGATTCTAGGGTCACTCACTGAAGAGCTGTTACCCTCCCAGCTGTGTCTCACAGACAAGATCTTCCATTCCCTTCTTTCCCCCTGAAAAAGAGCGGGTCTCTTCATTAACGCCTTGGGGCTACATTTATCTGTAGAAGGTTAACATCAGGACTTCTAGCTGTTATTCTACCGGACGCTTTTAAAACGAGGCAAAAGTCTTCTAAGCAGATGTGAATCAGGAACCACTGCTGAAAATTGGGGCGTGCACCAGCCCTGCAGTCATTTAGGAGTTATTGATGCCACGTGCTGGTTTAGTTAACGTATTTAAAACTTTGAATTAGGCTTAAAGATTATTCCACGGAAAAAAGAACATGTTTAAGAATTCTAAAGCGAACAGTAATTGAAAATAATTTATTTTTCCTTAAAGAAATACACGTGTGTGTGTGGAAAGAAAGAATAAACTTTAAACGTTACATTTCTTACGCTAAATAAAGGAATGTGAAATGTGAGTAGCATTACCCACGGGACAGTAGGGAGGTCTAAGGAATGAGCTTTTAGTGTCTTTTTAGATTGAAACTTTGGTCTGAAGGTGACTTAGAAAGATGTGAAGGGAGGGGCATGGGAAGTTGAGAGAAGAATAAACACTGTATTTTGAATTGAAATGAGAGTGGAAAAATTCCAGCAATATAGTTAAGAGAAATAACTTCCCTCATTCATAAACTTGGAAAAGCCAAGACTTCCAACTGTAATTTTCCATTAGCAGTGTGTGTTCTGCGTAATTTTGGAAAACAAACTTGCCATTTTGTGTTTGAGTGTTGGGGATTGAGGGAGGGAGAAGGGGAGACATGGGGACATGTTTTGGCCATACATGGCTTCTGTGTGGAGTTTGCATCTGCGTGCTTTGTATTTGCTTCAGGAAACGTGAATACGAATGATTTCACACGCTTCCCTTTTTTTAACTATGTACATTTTGGAAAACGATGAATTCCTTTTTTGTCCCTGCTTGCTCGTAATTATGTAGGTTTTCTCCAAGAAATTTGTATATAGTGAACAGGGGAAAAGTGTATTGTGATAAAAGATATCATTGCGCATAGTACATGTGGTCTGTATTCACTCTCATCGCAGTCTATGTAAAGGTGTTTATCAGCAATGATTTGGCACCTCTATAATGTATTTTGTTCATCGTTAGAGCTGGATCTTCCTAAAGGTACTGTCATATCCTTTTAATGTAGTTAATGAAATTAAAATTACTGTTTTTTTTCATCCCACTTGGAGCAAGGCAGTATGTTTGTCTTCACTGTGTGTATATGAGTAATTTACATGTTCAGATACTTTTAGTATACCCTGGGCATTTGAAATGACCACAGTGTGCTCACTGTTAGGGCTATTTTGTTTCTTCAGTGTCCACGTTTCTCTCTCTTGTCAGCTTTGCCTTTGCCACCAAAGCACATATTTTAAAATACTGTTCTTGCCAAAAGAAGCAGGATGAATGACTCTGTCATCGCCGCAACCTCTTTAAGAACCCCTAATTTGAAGATAAAAGGTTGATTCAAATGTGTATTTGTAAAGTATTATTTCTCTGGCTTGCTGATATTCGTGCTACATTTTGCCCTATTCCTTTACACATTACTGAAATGTAGGAGGGTTTTAAAATGTATATATTGTATATGTATGTACATATATACATATGTATTATATAATCTATATGTATTACATATAATCTGCTACTTTTATTCACAACTGCAGCTTTGAATACCCCAAAGTCAACTCCAATAACCTTGTAAAGTTTTGAATGGTGACTGGACTCCATGTCAGCATCTCCTTGCCATTTCCATTTTCTATCTGTGATTTTTAGTAGCTAATGTCTTATTCTCATAACCAAAGTTTATTTTTTAGAGTGGAGGAGAAAGAGTGAGGTAAGAGCTGGTGGTTATTCTGCCAATTATTATCATTTTATGAATCTTGTTTTTATTTATTTCAAATTGTACTTATAATACTTGAGTATACATAAAAACTGGTTTGTCTACTCATGCCAATTTTGCAATTCAAAACAAATGTAGGAAAGCTACCCTTTAAGATAGCTCAACATAATGATATTGGATTATTACGTGGTTGGAAAGGCTGTTTGAAACATTAATAATGTAGCAGGGCTGGTTTATGATTAAACACTAGTTTAAAACCAAGTAATGGTTTGAAGGCAAAGGCAGAGGGGAAGCTTGATTCTAACAAGGCTACGCAGTGGCTGATGAAGTGGTAGAAAATACAGCCTGGACTCTAATTTTAGGCCTCTTCTGCAGTACCTTTTAATTTTCTATGCCTAATAGTTGCCATTGTCTCTCTGTTTTGGGTCGTCTGAAAGCCATGTGGTAAACAGACAAAATACTAATGAGATTGAAACTGGGGTATGTAGCACTTTGCATTGGCTGGTCACGGTTTTCTAGTCTGTAAGTTAATGTTGCTATCTAGGTTGAGGTTCAAATACAATAGTAATTTTTATGGCTGGAGCAGAACAGGCTAACTTAATTCACCACCTTTCTGCTCATCTGCCCTTCCTGTTATCTCTGGATTGGATTTTTTCAGTATTGTTGTCACCCGGTAAGGGATGTCAACCTGAGCTCATTGCCAAGTCTGGCACTAGAATATGAGTCCTTCCTCACTTCTAATTGGTCTGTTTCTCCACCTGCCCCAAGTTTTATACTTCTGGAATGTGCTGTTCACCACCTTTTAACTTTTTTTGACTTTGGTGCTAATGGAAGTATTTTTAGTAATTATATATAATTTCAGTCAACAGATATTAAGACACTATGGTAAATATTTGTTAAAAATTGTAGTGTTACAAAGCAATTCTTACGCTAGCTGCTGCAGCTAACATCATTTTAAAGGGTTGCATGTGAAGGACTTGTACTCTGAGTCTTCCAGTGGTTTTAGCTGCAGCAGCTAGCGTAAGAATTGCTTTGTAACACTACAATTTTTAACAAGTATTTACCGTAGTGATTACAAGTGTGAGCCACTGCGCCTGGTCTGGGCTCTGATATTTAAATCCTGTAGGTCTCAGGTTTTTCCTCTTAATCTCCCCTGGTGGTTGTGCCAGTTAAATGGATGCTGGTGGTAGAGCAACAAATGCTCCCTAATCCATTGCTTGTGTTTCTCCTTGCACAGAATGCAGTTTTGTCACCTCCGCGTTTCTGTATGGATGGAATACTAGTTATTCCTTGTAACCTAGTGAACACCTCTTCATTCTTCCATACTTGGGCTAAAATCAACCTTTATGTGAAGCCTTCCTGAAATCGCCAAACCTCCAGCCTCATGCATTCCTTTCTCTCCTGTCTTACATAAATCTCTCTTTTTGCATTTTGTGGTTCTATTCGTTTTTCTATATTAGTCTATGAGCTAACTGAGGGCAGGAATCGTATCTTATTTATTGCTTGAGTGTTTGGCACGGTGCCTGCTAAATGCTTGTTGAATAAAAGTACGAATAAAGTTATAACCTTAACAACATTACAAAATAGGATTTTAAGGACCAGAACTCATTTCTTCTTCCAGTGGAAACTTGCCTCAGTGTCTTAAGCTTTATTGGTTGTAGTTGTTTGGTTGGGACGTGCTACAGGATGTGTCTTCATCTGCATGCCAGTGTGTACTTGTCTGTTTACTCAGCATTTCCTCTTCTACCTCAACCCTCTTCCTGAGTCACCTTACTCTACTGTCCTCCACTTGATGATTTCCCTCACGGGGACTTACATTTATCATCTCAAAAATACCTACTATGTGCCTACTGTGTGCCAGGCACTTGCCGGGATTATAGATTCAGTCACCAAATTCTTAGCCCTTACCTGGACCTTCAAACAGAGGCAGCCCCCATGAGAAGCAGATGCACAGACAAACCCAGCAGTGCCGTCAGATAATAAAGTTCATCTGGTGCGTTGTGATGGCATTGGCAGCCCGAGTCCACCTGGTGAGTCAGGGCAGGCGCACAGAGAAGGCAGCATTTGAGCCGAGGCTGCAGTGGGGCTAACCCATCTGTGCACTAGGCTGGAGCATTTTGGCCTTTTTTAACTTGTCGTGTGTGAAATCTTAAAGTTGCATACAGCATAGCTTCCAGACATTGCTCAGAGTAATTTATTCTTACTGAAGTACCGTACTGAGGTAACGTTTTACCTACAGTGAAATGCACTGATTTTAAGTATATCATTGTAGGAGTTTTGTCAGACCTATATGCCCAAGTCACCAGAACCCAGTCAAGATACAGAACGCTTTTTATCACTCAAGAGAGTTTCTTCCAGAGAACACATGAATCTCCATTCCTTTGGTAAGCATCCACTCTTTGATTTCTAGCACTATGGATTTCTCAAGGTAGGTTTGAATGGCCAAGAAATGTCTTAATACCTATTTGTTTCTTTTTTCCTCT